TCGAGGTACACCAAGTGCTGTGCCTGCCACGAAATCTGCACTTCGAGATTCGCAAATTGCTGTGCCTGCCACGAAATCTGCACGACTTCGAGGTTCACCAAGTGCTGTGCCTGCCACGAAATCTGCACTTCGAGGTTCACCAAGTGTTGCACCTGCCACGAAATCTGCACTTCGAGTGTCACAGAGTGCTGTGCCTGCCAAAATCTGCAAACGAGCCACATGTCCAAAAGTCACCTGTCACGAAATCTGAGCTCCGTGACGATCACCTGCGAAGTAAAACAGCCTTGCATCTGTCACGAAAAGTCGACTTTGAAGCACCAAAACACGAGGTTTCCCTGGCGCCTGCCACGAAAAGTCACCACCATGTGCGAAAATGCGCACGGCACCACAACGAGAGCGCAGTCGCCAGAAGCACCCGCCTCAGCCACCCAGATTCTGCAAGCCTGCGCAGTCGAAGTGCACATGGACGATGTCGAGAACCATGAATGCATTGTAAATAGCAGCGAATTAGCCGGTCACGGCCGCGCGCTTCAGCGATCTAAGCATCAGCTGCCTTTCCCCTACCGTAAGAACCCCTCAGTGTGCCCACACTGTTTGTCACCAAAGAAATTCAATGACCTTCACCGGAGAGGTCTTGGAATGGAAGACTTTCAAAAGAGACTTAAAATCTCGATAAGAGATTTAAAATGCAAAAAAGGTTTTTAATGAAAATCTTAGCAACAATCATCTCAAAAAATCTCGAAACATCTCAAAAAATCTCGAGGGGATAAAAGGAAACATCATTTTAACAACTCAAAAATTCTCAAAAAATCTCGAAACATGAGAAAATATGCAAAAAGATGCAAAAACATAATTTCACATGCAAACTGGAGCGTGATATGACTGCTGCAGTCAGTTGTGTTCAGCTGTTAGGATAACTTCTCCCCAAGAAACACAATTTGATTAACCATGTTGTGTTTGAGGTGTTTTCCCCAAAAATAGTAACATTTTTAAAGAAACAAAATAAATTGAGAACATGTGAAAACATGTGAAAACATGTTTTAAAATGTGAAAATATGTTTTAAAATGTGGAAAATTGATCAAAACATGTGAAAAAATGCAAAAAGATAGAAACACATAAAATTTCATGCGACCCTGCTCTGATCTAATCCTGCTCTGATCTAGGTAGTTAAATTTTTCTGGTGAGTTTGGGGAAAAAAGGAGAGCGAGCGAGCGAGCGAGGGAGGGAGGGAGGGAGGGAGTGTGTATGTGTGTGCGTGTGCGTGTGCGTGTGGGCGTGCGTGTGTGGGTGTGTTTCCCAGTGTGTGAGAGTGGTCACCCTGGTATCACGAGCCTGAACTTGTAATTAGGTATTTTGTTGGTCTCTTCATTTGTATGTAGGGCAGGCAGTGGGCACAGCGACAGATCCCAAGCCGCGCTAACAAAGCACGGAGTTGGGTTGAATGAGATACAGGACGCAGTATGTTGTCCCCCGCAAAGCGTGGCTCCTGGCATATGAAAGTTGCAGCTGGAGGATATATACACCCAGCAGTATACCATAGGATACCAATCACATCCAATTACTGATTGCGGGTTGGAATTGAAGGTGACATTACATTGCATTTGGCCACGGGCCACACTCCTTGCCACTGTTTTTGTGTGCCTAGGCCTAGGCCTCATGGAGTGGCCGTCATTTCGACCATACATACAACTTTTATGCATCGTGTGTGTGTGTGTCCACCCCTGGACAAAGGGTCTTCCAAGGCAGGGGGACACAGCATTTCACTGGGACTGTGTCCAACGAAGCTACCAGTGAAATGGGATATCCAGCTTGGCCAGCTGGACGTACCTGCTCGTTCTTTCACAAGCTGTCACACCACTCTTCCGCGTTTTGCTTCATGGTCCTTCATGTTTTCTCCCCCTAAACCAGTTCCTCCCCAGCAGCGCTGCAGCTAGAGCCGCTTCAAGAGAAACAATTTGTTCAAACATCTACAATTTTCTCGGACCTTTCACCATGCTGTTCCACCACCTTCCTTCCCAGCAGAGAGATTGAGCTTTAACGGAAAACCAGTGTCGAAGTGTGTCCCGCTCAGCCGTCCCACTCGGGTGCTGAGTGTGATCCCCGTCACAGGGGCGCTGATCTTGCATGGGAAAGCAACCACCCCAACGCACCACCACTCACTGGACTCTCACAGGAAGGCACCGACACCCTCACCGAATCAACTGACATACCGGCCGCCGGGTCAAAAAACGGTTCTTGAAGAATACATCGGATTTCAGCTTTCAGATTTCGGGTCCGTCATGTTCACTTCTCCAAGTCATGTTTGTTTTTCCACGAGCCTGAACATACTTGACGGCTAAGTATTCACATGCTTGCGCTGCTAAGTATTCACAGGCCGGATGAATTCATCATGCACCCCCCCCCCC